CTCGAGAGGCCCTCACTGGGCCTCGGGATGGAAGGGGACCAGACCTCTGGGGGTCGAGATTGTGAAAACAAAACCTTCGCGCGACCCAAAAGGGGGTCCAGCTGAAAGGGGGTGGTGCAATAGATTGGGGGCAAGAATGCACTGCATCGTATTGCAACTAATTAATGCATTGCACGCGGGGAATAAACAGCAACACATCTGCGCCCCAGGATGTACTGCACCAGATCAACTAGAACCATGGCACCAACAACAACCAACAAATCGACTGCACCAGATCTATGGCACCAATCGAGTGTCGCAGGGTCACAGACAGCAGGCACGTCGAAAAAGAAACGGGCCCACCAGCAGACGACGACGACGACGACGACGACGACGACGACGACGACGACGACGACGACGACGACGACGACGACGTCGACGGACGACGGACGACGGACGACGGAGGACGGACGACGGACGACGGACGACGGACGACGACGACGACGACGACGACGACGACGACGACGACGACGACGACGACGACGACGGAGGAGGACGACGACGACGGAGGACGACGGACGCATTTCTTGTCCCCGTGGCCCAGGGGACCCAATGTAAGTCTAAGGCACCTCAGGGTGCTCCAAACCCGACGCTCGTTGAACCACGTTTCTGATCCTTTATGCCTGCGACGTGGCCAATCGTGAGCCCAGGGTAGGCCCGACCCTTGAATGTCCTCCTCCTCCTCCCTCTCTCCTCCATCCTCCTCCTCCGCCTTCTCATACTGTTCTTCTCGGTCCTCCTCCTCTTCCTCCTTGTCCTCATCCCTCTGCTGCTGGACCGCGGCAGATGACGACGGAGATGACGACGACGACGACGACGACGACGACGCGGCTGCGATGACGATGAAAGCCCCGAGGCCTGGCGCATCTCGGGGGGCCTCGCGGTGAGGCCGCCTGGCAGGGAGGACTGAGGAGAAAGGGCGCACCAGCTGCTCGTTCTTCGAGCAGGGGATCGACTACAGAACTGGTGTACTTCAACATTGATCTGCTCGTCGAATCTTCGAACACAGAAAGGTAGAATGTCCCAGAGATGTTCGACCATCCCAGGTATTGTTCGCAAATCCATCGAAAAAAACATTCTAGGGTACATCGAAACTGCAGCCGATCCCTCACTCGAGTTCTGGGGATCTTCCCCGCAGGTCCCCGCAAGGCCCCCCGAGGCCCCCCCCCCGGGGAGGCCCCCACAAGGCGCCTGATCCTCCAGAGGCCCCTCAAGGAGGCTCCCGTGGGGCCCCAGAGAGGCCCCCAAGATGCCACCCACGACCCAAGCGCGGTGGCGGGCTGGGCCGAGGGCCACTTTACAGCGCGGGCGCGGCCGCAAGGAGCCCTCGCCGGAAACCCGACCCAGAACACCCGCGCGCGAGGTGCCACTGAGGGGAAGCCTCGGAGCACCCTAAACGCAGCAGCTTCTTCCACGGCCGCAGGGCGTCACTGTGCAGCGCGCGGAGCAAAGACATCCAGGGCACCCTGACGAGAGGCACATGGCGTCTTGATGCGCGCCCCACTGTAGAGATCCGCCGTGGTAAGATCAGTAATGTTCCACGTGTGTATGCTCTGTCGGCCTTCGTCTTGACCCGCCAGCCGCACGGAAGAGGCACCCTTGATCGGACTTCGCGCCCAAATCTCCCAGGGTGGGCGTGTCCGAATGAAGAAAGAACAACACAAACGAGGCGTCCTCGATCGATCCCCAGTGTCCCAGGAGCTCGACTGCCGTTTCGTCTTGGTCAACCCGAGGCCAAGAGGCAGCTGCGGCCCGAAACCCAGGCCAGCTGTTAGATGCTCTGAGGATCTCCCTGGAGCCACTCGCTCGACTCATGCGTCGATGCTGCGTCGAAGGTCCGTCAACTTGAGTCGAGCTTGCATTTAACTAAGAGTTGAACTAGAGTCGTACTCGAGTCTAACTAGAGTCCAACAAATCCGCTAAATGCACACATGACATGTTCCAACTACGAACAGCTAAAGTGCGGATATCAGACGATACATGAAAAAGAGACGTCCCGAGTCACAACGAGAAGGTCACAAGCATAGTAAACTGGCAACGCGACATGACACACCTGGTGGAATTAGAGAAGGGGGAAGTCGTCATTCCGGCGTGAGGCTCAGGACTAGAAAGGTAGAAGGAGGAGGGATGCATCAGTAGATGGGCGCGCGATCTGAAAACGGCAACATGCCACTCTTCACAAAACACGCGCACGATTCTTCCACCTTCATCGCCGCATGCTCTAATCGATGTACATCTGATACCGGCCGCGCCTGATGTTGAAGAGAATAATGCAGCGCCGATGTGGACAGCCACCCTGTGTTGCGTCTGCGGTGTACATGCCGACGCCAATCTGTACAAACATTAATACACGTGCACCCTGTGGAAACTCATGTGCTTGCTCGTGCACATGCTGCACATATCTGAACGCCTTTGGGCGTGGACTCCAGCCTGCTTCCGCAAGAGGCGCGACGCGACCAGTCCCCCGCAGCCTACGGCTGACCCACGGCGGGTCACGAAGCCATCGAATTCGAGGATATCCATCCGAGGCAGCACTGGCATCAGGTTCTGCGGCTCGTATCGACCATTCCTGGGCACAAACGCCCCCTTGCCCCAGTCTCCGATGTCTCCCCACCCCTTCCATGCTGCCACCACTGCCCCTTGTTCAAGGGTCCTTCGTGTCCGCGAGAGCACGGTGCATGCCAAAATTCACGATCACACAACATCAGTCGGCGTGGCCACAAGTCAAGGCACACCTCGGGTGCGCCGAAGCAGGGGAGAAGGGGGGGGGCAGGAAGAGGTGGGTTCACCTCATGATGCGCTAAGTTGGCGCATCATGGCCCGACGCATGGGCGCAGGCAAATGAAGGGGGCGGGGATGGATAGAAAGAAGCAATGATGAAGCCATGCTGTCAGATCTTATTGACCATGGCCTTGGTCATGATACCCACACACCCCTGGTCATCACCCCGACGCCCTGGAGACGAGCTCCTGGCAATCACGCGACAGGGCCGAGCCAAACATGAGACCGACTGCAACTGAGATGACACGGCGACGAGAACACCCGGCTCTGATTCCACGAGCGGCCAGAGGCGCATGTCGCAGAGCAAGACCTCACTATGACCCGAGAGATGTTCGAAGGGTAACTGGGAGGAACGAAGTGTAAGACTGGAGGGAGCAAGCTCCACGCACACAATCGAAATCAACACATACGACCACCATTCGGGTGATAAGGAGGCTCTGGATGGGGGGGGGGTCAGCTTTCCGTGTGCGATTGGGGTCAGATCAGACGCGGCGGAAACCAGTTGGGCACCACGGAGCACCACCGATGGTGTCCCGAGGGCGTCCTTGATAACCGTCGGGACTCATCGGGGCAACCAACAGAAACAGGTGGCATATGTTTACCCGTACCCTCTTTTAGAGCGCACTGAGAACATGCAAGGCACTCTGCTTGTCCATCTATTTACCGATCAGAGCATCCAGCCGGAATCATCGGGGCAACCAGCGGAACTAGGTCGAAGTTACTTGCCCGCCTCCCCTTTTCAAAGGGCCCTACTACGAAGGTGCGGAGCAAAATGTGTGTCTATCGATGTACAGGGACATCCATCAAAAAGCATCGGGGCAACCAGCGGAACCAGGTGGCAAGTATTTGCCCGCGCGCCATTTCACCCAAAACAACAGACTAATAAGACACAAGGCTGGAGGGCACCGCGAGATACCAAGGGACACCACAAGGCACCACTATCGATCTCACGATCGATGTCGCTATCTACCGACCTCACTATCGATCCCCTTACAAGTCTCACGATCGATCTCCCTACATATGTAGACTTTACGATCTAGCGATCTCAGCATCAACTTCACCATGGATCTCACTATACCTAGCTATATTTCCCACTATAGATCTCACTCTCTATCTACTTCTGCATCGAACGATCTAGCGATCGTACGATCGATCTCACATTCCAACCCACTATGGATCGCACGATCGATCCCGCACTCGAGCTCACTGCCATACACCGAAGCACCAGGGCAACCAGCGGAACCGGGTGGCATTTATTTGCAAGCGCTTTTGAATCATATGCGAAGAACGTACAAGACCACGGGACCCCACGAGACACCACGGGACACCACCATCGTTGCCACGTTCGACCCCACTGTCCACCAATATCTCCCCCAAACGTCCGATCTATAGACGTCATTTGCGGACACACGGTCGACCCAACTATCTACCTAGCCTTCTCTCTAGCAATCGATCTCACGAAAGAGATGCAACCCTGTGGCGCGCCAGATGGTCGGAAGCCGTGGCAGCTGGGAGAAGATGGTGATGGCGGTAGGGGCCATGGTGATGATGATCGCGTTGATGCTGACTGTGATGTTACTGGCGATGATGGTTATGTTGATTCTGATCATGATGACCGATTTCACGGTACCAAAATCGATATGGTCAACGCGTCTTGCTCTGGAACAGAACTTTCCTAACGTCTGGGAGCGGCAGCTCGGCAAAGCCGCTCACAGAAAACCGTGGGAGAAGTGTGCGAGAGGCATGCTCGAACAGTGCCGGCGCTGAGGCCAGGAGTGCGCTGGCAGAGCAAGGCGTTACCTCTCGCCTGTTCCAACTACTTCTCGACCTATCGACCTCGCTTTCGATCTCCCCTTTTTATCGATCACAATGTCTATCGATCCAACAATCGAGTTTACCATCAATATCACTACCGATTTGTCTCTCGATCTCACGATCGATCTCACAATCGACCTCACGGGACACCACGGGACACCACGGGACACCGCGCAACTGTACACCACGGGACACCACTGGACACAGTGCCACGGGACACCACGTGATACCCCCGAACCACCGTCGGCTTATCAGGGGAGAAGAAGGATTGAGCTCGGTTTCGCCCTGGTAGTTCATTCCTTCCGCCTGCCGACGCAGCCTCGCCTCGCCCGCATGCACGACACGAATACGAAACCGAAACCAATTTTCCTGTTGGGGGCTCTCCGTTTCATGTCACTGCGGTCCAACCTCCAACCTCCAACCTCCAACCTCCGATAATGTTGATGCGCCATAAGGATGGACGCTCAACTTGGAGCCTTTGGAGCATCGCAAGGCCCGGAAGAATGCAAGGGCACCATCGGTGAATATACTCAGCCTCACCATGGATTTCGATTGCACTTATCCCTGCCGAAACCCAACCGGACTGTTGCCAAGCGTGTGCTCCACGGAATCCCATGGTGACGCAATCGTAATTAAGACATCGCGCGTCCTGGGAGCTGCTGCCGGGAGGGCAGTCACGCACCAGGCGGCCGCTTCTGGAGCACCGTCGGACGTCTCCCGCCCACCTCCCACTGGCTTCCGCAGACGGACCCGCGGCCGCTGTAGGTCCGCCACCTTCCGCCCGCTGCCGCCGAAGGCGAGATCGGAGACAACGCGCTTCACGGGCGCACGCCTTGGGAACATTCGGCGGCGCGTTTCGAACCGGGGGGTGGGCCCCCACCCCAACACTCGGCGCCGTCGATCAAAACCAGGGGGACTCCCTTCCCCCCCAAAACCCCCCGTCCCGAACCCCCTCCCCCCCGGGTTCAACCCCCCCCCTGGCGCAGAGGCGGGGGGAGGGTTTCAACCCCCCCCCCTTCGCGCCGGCGCTGGCGCGGGCGGCGGCCAGCAGCGACGGCGCTGGCGCCGGCGACGGCGGGGACGCAGCGACGATAAACACAACTACCAACACCACCACCGCCTCAACCCACCACCACCACCACCACCACCAAACCACCACCCAACCACCACCACCACCACAGCCACCACCACCACCACAGCCACCACCACCAGAACTCACCATCACCACCACCACCACCACAAAAAAAAACACTACCACTACCCCCATCACCACCACAATCTACTACGCCACCACCACCACCGCCACAACCACCACCGCTACCAGCAGCACAACCCACCACCACCACCACCACAAACCGCCACACCACCACCACCACCGCCACCACCACCGCTACCAGCACCACCTCCACAAACCACCGCCACCACCACAACCCACCACCACCACCACAAACCACCACCACACCACCACCACCAAACCACCACAACCACCACCACAACCCACCACCACCACCGCAAACCACCACCACACCACCATCACACCACCACCACCTCCACCACCACCCACCACCACAACCACCACCACCACCACAACAAACCACCACACCACCACCACCACAACCACCACCACCACCACCGCCGCCACCGACACCACCACCACCACAATCCACCACCACCACCACCACCGTCGTCCTCGTCGACCCTCCCCGCCGCCGCCGCCCGCCGCCGCAGGCGTTGGCGCCGGCCCAGAAAAGGAAATCGTTGTCCCCGCCGTCGCCGCCGCCAGCCGAGGAGAGGGAGAGAGGAGAGGTAATTAATTAGGGGGGGGTCGAACCCCCCCCTCCATCCAGGAGAGGAGTGGGGGGTCCCGTTCCAACCCACCCCCCCTCCAAGCGACCACAGAACGCGCTCTTTCCGAGATCGCTTTCCGCTGGCTCTGGGGCCCAAGAGCGGCTCCAGGAGGCTTCAAAACTGCTGAAAAAAAGCGTCGTGGTGTGCATGCTTTTGTTGTTGTGCCGTGACGTGTGCCGGCAGCAGCCGAAAAGTCACAATCACACACACACACACACACACACACACGCACACACGCACACGCCGTACCTTTGCGGGAGCGCGCTCTGAGCAGGCTCGCGACGCGGACCGGGCCGTGGGGACGAGGGGCCCTCTCGGCAGGGAGGAGACACATGGGGGGATACGAGGGGGGAGCAGTCGTTCTCTGCTTCTCTTCGCTGCCTTTCGTGCTCTCTTTCCCTGCCGCTGCTGGAGGCCCACGGGAAAGGGCTACTGATGGCGCCAGTCTTGATCGAGAGCACCGCCACCGAGCGCCTGTTCTAGAGGGCAAAAAAAACACCCCCAGAATAACCACCCCAACACGCGAAGCCGTTTACTAAACGCCCCCACTGAAGGAATCGAAAAGGGCAAGGCTGTTTAGTAAACGCCCAAGGCCGTTTAGTAAACGCCAATTGTCCGGTCCGGGTGGTTTTTCTTCCCTTGATATTCGCTGATCAATCGGCGACGCAATCGCCGGGTTCAGGCCGATGCTTCCCCATCTGGGCTGCTCCCCCCTATCATACCTCTCACTCTTGGAGGGCAGTGGCCTGCCTAAAAGGGCCCTGGGGGCTCCGAGAAGGCCGCGTAGAGGCCGGGAGGGCCTCCGAGAACGGCCATCTGCTCACAAGGAGCCCCACTGCCTTCTTAGAACGCCGCGCCCCCTGAGTCCATCGAGTGCCTCCAGAGGCCGGCCAGCAGTGCAGCGCAATGAAGGCAGCAGCAGCAGCAGCAGCAGCAGCAGCTGCAGCAGCAGCAGCAGCAGTAGCGGCGGGAGCAGGGAGTAGAGGCGGGCCTCCCCCGTGCGAGTGCGCGGCTTCCTGCCATCGCTATTTGACGGGTACGTATCCTCCTCCTCCTCCTCCTCCTCCTCCTCCTCCTCCTCCTCCTCCTCCTCCTCCTGCTCCTCCTCCTCCTCCTCCTTCTCTCCTCCTCCTCCTCCTCCTCCTCCTCCTCCTCCTCTTCCTCCTCCTCCTAATCCTCCTCCTCCTTTGTCCTCCTCCTCCTCCTCCTCCTCCTCCTCCTCCTCCTCCTCCTCCTCCTCCTCCTCCTCCTCCTCCTCCTCCTCCTCCCCCTCCTCCTCCTGCTCCTCCACCTTGTCCTCCTCCTCCTCCTCCTCGTCCTCCTCCTCCTCCTCGTCCTCCTCCTCGTCCTCCTCCTCCTCCTTCTCCTCGTCCTCCTCCTGCCCCTCCTCGGTACAGCGAGGCAGAGTCAGATTCTCCCTGCTGGCCGTCACCCCTCGCGTCTCTCCCTGGTGCACGCCGCTGGGCCCTCGTGCGCATCGGGGGGCGGCGGCCCGCCTGACGACGAACACCGCGGAGCGTGCTGGCAGCGGCGGCGGGTCTTCGGGGCTCTCCAGGAACCTGGGGAGGGGGAGGGGGCCAGGGAGGGGAGGAGAGGGAGAGGGCGAGGGAGGGGAGCAGAGGGAGAGGGGCGAGGGAGGGGAGCTGAGGGAGAGGGGCGAGGAAGGGGAGGAGAGGGGCGAGGGAGGGGAGGTGAGGGAGAGGGGAGGAGAGGGGCGAGGGGAGAGTTGAAGGACACCTCTGGAGAGGGAGAGGGGCGAGGGAGGGGAGGAGAGGGAGGGGGCGGGTCTGCGAGGGGGAGGAGGAGGGAGGAAGGAGAGAGGGGGAGGGCAAGCGAGGTGCGCTAGCGCCACATCTGATATCCTTCCCCGCACTCGTATCCCTTCCCACCGCACTGATGGTGCCTCTGTATGCCGATGGGTGTCCTAGCGGACTGGGAACACCACGGAGAGGATCCCATCTTGCTATGCGCAATCGGAAAAAAAAGAGAGAGCTGCGTACACCGAAGCAGGAGGGGGCGGATGAGCAGGGAGGTGAGCAGGAGGAGAAGGAGACGATGAGGAAGGAGGAGGGCAAGGGCAAACAGCAGCAGCAGAAGCTGGAGCGGAAGGATCGGGAGGAGCAGGAGGACCAGGGGAAAAGAGGGGGGCGACAACGAGGGGGAAGGACTCGGACCCAGAAAAGTGGCCCGCGCTGGGGAGAGAGTGCCATGCTGAACAACAGGGGCAAAGCGCCGATCGTGAAGTGAAGCCCTCGCAGCAGCGTCAGCACAATTCTGAAGGACCGAAAAACGACCGGATTGAATTCAAGCCATATGAAGAACACAACTGTTGAAACCTGCACGAAAACAAATGCGCAAAGGAGGCGGGACACTCCCTGGCCATCTTCAGGGGAGAGACGAGAGTAGGGTTCAAATCAAGCTAGGCACGCTAGTGCCATATCGGGCAAGCCTACCGCGTCCACCAATCCCTTCCAATTGCGCTAAGTTCTTCTCTATCCGCCGGTGGGTGCCATAGCGGACCTGGAACCCACACAGGATACATATCGTATGTGCGCAATCTGAAAATGGAAGCTGTATACATCGAATGCGAAGGTGGCGGATGGACAGTGGGCAGGAGGAGGAGCAGGAGGAGGAGGAGGAGGAGGAGGAGGAGGAGGAGGGGGGAGGAGGATGAGGAGGGAGGGAAACAATGAGGAACAGCAGCAGAAGGACGGGGAAGAGCAGGAAGACCAGCGGGAGGGGAGAGGATGGTGGCGACGACGACGAAGAAACATTCGAATCCAGGAATGTGGCCCGCGCTGAGGCGAAAGCGCGAGCGTCCAAGCCGGGCTCGATCCAATTCAAGTGGACTCCTGCGATAGCTGGATCCGGCCCTATGCAACTGAATGCAATAAGGGCTCGATCCAGCGCTAGTGACACTACTGTAGCCTGATCCAATACTCAAAGCATCATAGCCGGGCTCGATCACTGGTGGACTTCTACCAAAGCTCGATCCATCTAGCACAACACCCGATTAGAGCCAGATCCAGCTCTAACTGAATCCTGCTAGGACTCGATCCATCCAAGGTAGAATCTTGACGGGACTCGACCCAGCCTGAAGAGCATCCAACTAGAACTCGATCGTTGCTGTCATCCTTGCCCGACGGCGCTGGCGCTCGCGGTGCCGGCGTTCGCCGTCGTCGGTTGCCAGTGGAGGGGGGGGGGAAGGCTCTCCCCCCCCGAATTCGAACCGCGCTCCTTGCAATTCAGGGGATGCCCCCCCCCCTGCCCCGGTTTGGTTCGAAACCTCCACCCCCTTGAGGGGGGGGGGAAAGGGGCAGGGCATCTGGTTCGACCTTCCCCCCCCTTCAGGGGGTTGGGCCCCCCCTGCTCTGGTTCGACCCCTCCCCCTCCCCAGCATGCACCGAACAGGCTCTGTCCTTCATGTCAAACTAGGTAGGTGCGCTCGCACCGTATCTGACGTCGTACCTCTCCCTCCCTCCCTCCCTCCCTCCCTCTTTCCCTCTCATCCATTGCCACTGCGGAAAATCCATCTCTAGTCGCTCAGTCGGACGTCGAAGCGGACAACGATCCCCAAAGGGTACGCTGCGACGCAAAGCACGGAATGGCATTGCGTGGTCAAGCAGCTCATACTATAGCAATGCAGCGCAAGGCATGGCATCGCAGAGTGGTGCAACACATAACATTACATGCCCTTGCATGTCACGGCACTGCGTAGCCCAGCGCTGCAGATGACAGCCTTGCAGAGGAAGCTATCTAATCGCAGAATAACGGCGCGTGACGTAGCATTATATTGCATACCGCAGCTGCGTAAAATGATGACAGTAGCTAGCATCGAACCCATAACCCTAAATCTGGTTGTGTAAATCATGCCTGCCCGCGCTGCTGGGCAATCTTTGCGGGCGCGCAATTCCTCTTCGCGCGCGCCTTGCGGGAGGGCAGTGCAATGCTCGCCCAGTCGCCCCTGGCCAGGCTAGCAAGGCCCACCGCGGTCGACACCGCGAGCACTCGAACGACGCTTCTCACGCAGATTCTTGAAGGGCTCGTCTGCCTGCTGCGCTGCGGCTGCCGTGTCGCAGCTTTGCTTCTGCGCGTGGCCCCACCACCCCGCGGACGCACTGGGGAAACCAAAATGTACCGATACCGCTACTCCCCACACCTTCCCTGGGGTGCGTTCTGACCAAAATGTCGAGGCGAATCCAGCGGTGGCGACGAGGTCCTCCCAGGTGGCCCAAAAGTGAGAAAACGGGCGAAGGGTAGGGGTATGGGTACCTGTTCCTCCTCTGACGCACTGGCACTTCGTGGCTTGAGCGGCTCAGCCACGCCACCTTCCCCGTGCCCCACCCCTGGGAACCTAGACCAGACGCGCCGCGAGTCGCCCCAGGCCCGCCGTGGCCCCGGATGGCCCCTGATGGTCCAAAGTTCGTCGGCCGGGCGACCCTCGCGCCGATCGACCGAACGACCGATCGGTCGACCGACCAATCGCCTCTTCTCACGGCAGAAGGAGCCCGCCCAGGAGGCCCAGAGAGCCTCTCAGAAGCCCTGCGAAGCCCCTCAGCAAGACTCGAAAACAAACTCGGGAAGCCCAAGAGGCCTTCCAGGAAACACGAGAAGCCGCTCGGAACGCCAATTCCGGCAGGTGGGCGAAGCCTTTCGGGAAATCCAGGAGGGCCCTCGGAAAGCCCAAGAGGCCTGCCAGGAGGCCTGGGAAGCCTTCGCGGGAAGCCCAAACGGCCCCTCAGGAGGCCCAGGAGGCTCCCCCAGGAAACCCACGAATCTCCCAGGAAGCCCAGCGGCCTGTCGGAAAGTGCACGACCCTTCACAAGAAGCCCAAGGAACCTCGCGGGAAGCCAACGTGGGGCCTATCAAGAAGCCGAAGAGGCCTCTGATATTGCCCTGCAAGGTTCACGGGTGAGGGGCAGGGTGTCCTCGGGAAGCCCACCGGGTCCTCGTGAAAAGATGTTAGCCGACACACACACACACATATCTATATATATATATATATATATATATTATTGCATATACATAGATACACATGTATATCTGTAGATGACAACTAGAACCATCGCGCGCGCTTCGCGCGCGCTCAGGTTCTAGTTGAGGTCACCGCTCAGGTGCGATGCCCGCGACGATTCTTACCACGAAGACGGCGGCGTGCACTACAAGCCACGTTGGGCGCAGTCTTCACATGGGAAGTGTCCCCCATGGAGCGCTACCGATGGCCTGAAGGAAACGCAAAGTTCGCATAGCGTCACCCTGGCAATTACGGAACGCCACCCATTGACAGAGACAAAGAAAACCTGTGCCAATCAGGCGGCGTCCCAGGAACGGTCTCAGGTTTTTGGACCGGAGGCCGCATGTAGACGTACATGAAGGTTTCTAGGGAAGCCTCTCAGAAGTCCGTTGGGGCCCTCTTGGGGGTCTCCTGGGGGCTTCCTGGGAACCTCGGGGGGCCTCTTGGAAGCCTCTTGGGGCGCATCTGTAGGCCCTTGGGGGCCTGCCGCGGGCGTCTTGGTGGCCTCTGTGGGCCTCTTGGGGGTCTCTTAGGGGCCTTTTGGGGGCGTCCTGGGGCAGGGGGGCTGGAAGGTTCAGTTGGGTTTCCCGTCTTGGGCCCCCCTTGGGGCCCTTCGGGGACGCGTTTGGGCCGTCCTGGGCGCCTCTTGGACTGTCCTGGGCCCCTCTGGGGCCGTCTTGGGGCTCTCTTGTGGACTTCGTGGGCCGTCTTGGGGCGGTCTAGGGAGAGTCTGAGGTCGTAAAGGACGGTACGGAGGCCAAAACATCGAATATGGTAAAAGTGTACGTTTTACAAAGGAAACGGGGCTATGTTTGATTCCCGGGGCAGTCTCTTGGAGGGGTCTTCGAGCGTCTTGGAGGCGTCTGGGGCGGTTCGAGACGTCTCTTGAGCCGCAGGAGACCGCTGGAGGTTGTCTTCAGGGTGGCTCTGGGCGGCCTGGAGCCGCCTGGACGGCCGTCTGGGCGCTCCGGGGGCCGACCTGGGGCCCGCCGGTGAGCGGGCTGGGCCCATTTGCGGTCAAGGCTGCGGCCCCGGGGCCCCCGGGCCCGGTGCGGCGTTATATGTATACACATGAACCAGAAACTTACATTCCATTGTTGGGCAAGGTTTCCTGAATTAGGGAATGCCTCGCAAGTTGAGCCCCGACCAAACACAACAAAGGCGGACACATCAGGAACTATGATCGTATAAACTGAGTTTCTGACCTGGCTCGAACGGCCTCTCGGGGGCCTCTCTGGAAGCCCTGGGGGCATCTACTGACGCCCGCAAGGCCTCTCAGGAAAACCGCGAGGTCTACCAGGACGTCCAAAGGACCCCGTCAGCAAGCAAGCCCTCGGGGGCTCTCGAAAAACCCACAACGCCCGCAACAGAAGGCGAACGCCTTCCCTGAAGCCCCGGTGCAGCTGTTAGGAAGCCTGGGAGCCTTCCGCGGAAGTCCAGGGCGCCTCTGGGGGCTCTCAGTAGCGGAGCTCCTTTAGGGGCTCTCCGGAGCGGAGCGCCTCTCGGATGGCCGAAGAGGTCTCTCAAGACGCCCCCCTCGGGGCCTCCTGGCCGAGCGTGAGGCCCTCGCCGAGGGCCCCGAGGACTCGTCGGGGGAGGGCCCCGGCCGCAAGAGGCCCCTCCGAGGGGGCGGGGGGGGGGGCGGGAGGCTCCCGCGGCGGGGTGGCGAGGTCTTCTTGGTGCCTGCGCGGCGCCTCCCTGTGCGGGCTCCCTCCCAGCAGCAGGCCTCGAAAAAGCGGCGGCGGTCTCGCGCGCCGCAGCCCCCCCCGGGGGGGACGGCACCGCTGGTTTCGGGTCTGCGTGGGGGCCCCGCCTGGCGGGCTCCCCCCAGACGTTCCTCGAACGTGGCGACGGTGTCGCACTCCGCAGCCATCCAATGGATGGCAAGGTACTTTTTTAGATCTGCGCCGAGCCCCACTGTGCGAGCTCCCCCACCAGCCATCGAAGGTGGCGACGGTTTCGCACTTCGCAGCCCCCCGTTGATGGCGAGGTCTGTTTTGGGCCTGCGTGGAGCCTCAACCGTGCGAGCTCCCCCGCCAGCCCTCGAAGGCTGCGACGGCTTCACACTTCGCAGCCACAAAGGGTGGCGAGCTTCTTGGGGGGTAGGCGTGGGGCCCCGCTGCGCGAGCACCCCCAGCAGCCCTCGAAAGCGGCGACAGTTTCACACTTCGCAGCGTCCCCCCAGGGGTCTTCTTCAGGTCTGCGTGGGGCCCCACTGTGCGCCCCCCCCCAGCAGCCCTCAGAAGTGGCGGCAGTTTCATACTTCGCGGCCCCCAAAAGAGATGCGAAAGGAGAGAGCCGAGAGGAGAGCGGGGGGGAAGACGGGAGGAGGAGAAGAAGGGAGTTGGCGACCCCACTGCTCTATTCAAAAAGGGAGCCCGACCAAGGGAGGGCTGGGAAAAGAAAAAACAATTACGCTGCGACGTACCCAACCCATGTGCATCAAGTGGCAAGAGGAGTAGGCCAACATTAGCAGGAACAACGACAGTGCGGACGCGGTGAACTGCTGCGCTAACTATATGGAATGCGCATGCGTTGCACGACTCACAGGACGACGATCGAAAGAACGAGGATTGAGGCCGCAGGCTCGAAGAATAACGGGGACAGGAACGAGGGGCAGGAGAAGGATGGAATGGGGGGAAATCCGAATCTGCGTATGACGTCACTGCGCTGGGCCCCCCAGCAGCCCTCGAAAGTGGCGACAGTTTCGCAGATGGCAGCCCCACAGGGATGGCGAGGTTTAACCTGAATCTGCGTATGACCCCACTTCGCTGGGCCCCCCAGCAGCCCTCGAAAGTGGCGACAGTTTCGCAGATGGCAGCCTCCCAGGGATGGCGAGGTTTACTCTGAATCTGCGTATGACCCCACTCCGCTGGGCCCCCCAGCGGCCCTCGAAAGTGGTGACAGTTTCGCAGATCGCAGCCCCCCAGGGATGGCGAGGTCGAATCTGAATCTGCGTATGACCCCACTCCGCTGGGCCCCCAAGCAGCCCTCGAAAGTGGCGACAGTTTCGCAGATCGCAGCCCCACAGGGAAGGCGAGGTCTAACCTGAATCTGCGTATGACCCCACTCCGCTGCCCCCCCCCCCCAGCAGCCCTCGACAGTGGTGACAGTTTCGCAGATCGCAGCCTCCCAGGGATGGCGAGGTCGAATCTGAATCTGCGTATGACCCCACTCTGCTGGGCCCCCCAGCAGCCCTCGAAAGTGGCGACAGTTTCGCAGATCGCAGCCCCCCAGGGATGGCGAGGTCGAATCTGAATCTGCGTATGACCCCACTCCGCTGGGCCCCCCAGCAGCCCTCGAAAGTGGCGACAGTTTCGCAGATGGCAGCCCCCAGGGATGGCGAGGTCTAACCTGAATCTGCGTATGACCCCACTCCGCTGCCCCCCCCAGCAGCCCTCGACAGTGGTGACAGTTTCGCAGATCGCAGCCCCCCAGGGATGGCGAGGTCGAATCTGAATCTGCGTATGACCCCACTCCGCTGGGCCCCCATACAGCCCTCGAAAGTGGCGACAGTTTCGCAGATCGCAGCTCCACAGGAAAGGCGAGGTCGAATCTGAATCTGCGTGTGACCCCACTCCGCTGGGCCCCCCAGCAGCCCTCGACAGTGGTGACAGTTTCGCAGATCGCAGCCTCCCAGGAATGACCCCACTCCGCTTGCCCCCCCAGCAGCCCTCGAAAGTGGCGACAGTCTCGCACATCACAGCCCCCCAGGGATGGCAAGGTCTAATCTGAATCTGCGTATGACCCCACTCCGCTGGGCCCCATAGCAGCCCTCGAAAGTGGCGACAGTTTCGCAGATCGCAGCCCCACAGGGATGGCGAGGTCTAACCTGAATTTGCGTATGACCCCACTCCGCTGCCCCCCCCCCCCAGCAGCCCTCGAAAGTGGCGACAGTCTCGCAGATCGCAGCCCCCCAGGGATGGCGAGGTCGAATCTGAATCTGCGTATGACCCCACTCCGCTGGGCCCCTCAGCAGCCCTCGAAAGTGGCGACGGTTTCGCAGATCGCAGCCCCCCCAGGGATGGTGAGGTAGGAGACAAACTGGCACGCAGGGGCGAGCGAGGTAGGAAGCAGAGGGGAAGAGGAAAGGAGGAGGGGGCGGGAGAGGAGAGGAGAGGAGTCGCGACCGCAGCTGCTCTATTGAAAACGAGAACCCAACGCAGGAGGGTTGGGAAAAACAATCGCGCGGAGAAAAGGGGCGGCCAATCTCAGCACAGATTCGGGGGAGGCAGGAGAGCGTGGAAATCATAGCGTGTGATTGTGGGGGAGAGTCGGCGGCGGAACGGCTCGTGGTCTCGGGCAAGCTCCCCGAGGCAGCGGGCGACCGCTGGGCGCACCGAGAGCTGCTATATATATAATATATATATATATATTATATATATATATATATATATAGCCCTGGCCCCGGAAAAGTTAGCGAAGCTGGCGCCCCCGCGAAGGGAGCAAGAGATGGTGGAGGAGGAGGAGGAGGAGGAGGAGGAGGAGGAGGAGGAGGAGGAGGAGGGGGAGGGGGAGGTGGAGGAGGAGGAGGAGGAGGAGGAGGAGGAGGAGATGGAGGTGGAGGAGGAGGAGGGGGACCCACCCAAGAATCCTCCACGATGTTGGAATACACCCTGCGATGATGGAATCCAATGATCTTCAAGAACCCCTGCTAGCACATCGTTTCCACTGGTGGGATGGCAGCGTTGGGGAGGCAACCGTGTGCAACATCGGGAAGCATGCCACAATACCAAGTCTCAGGACTTCAACGTCACGAGTTCACATGAATGTTACGCCCTGGCGATCCTGAGTCGTGCCAGAACACTGGTCCTGGGACTTCAACACGGCGGATCGATGTAGCTGTTGCACTCTGACAATCCTGACCCGTTCCAAACACAATTCCTGCGAACGCGCGCGGCGCTAAAGCGAGAGCCACAAATTGAAAAGGAGCCGCCCTCAATCCATGAATCTCTTGCAAAAGTGTAAGACGAGTGCGCGCGGCTCTGAAGCCAGAGCCACTTTCTGAAAACGACCAGCTGTCAAAACGTGAAGCTCCTGCAATGGATTAATACGAATGTGTGCGGAGCGAAGGCGAGAGCCACATTTCATGAACGACCTGCCCTCAATTCTTGAAACTGTTGCAACTTGTTGAACACATGTGCGCGGCGCCAAGGCGAGAGCCACATTTTGAAAACCACCCGCCCTCGATTCGCGAAGCTCTTACAATTCTGTTTAATGCGTGCGCGCCATATTTTGAAAATAACCCGCCATCAATATGTGAAGGTGATGGCAACGTCTAAGCTTCAGGATCATAAGTGGTGAGGAAGCCTCAGGCGAAACGCCCGGCCTGCCCTTTCGACCGGCCTCGGGGTGCCACAGGGAGGAGTTGTCTATAAGAAAGTGGAACGGGAGTCAAAGAGCAGGGAAGGGCTCGGGCGGGTGAGACCGTCCCTGGGGTATGCCTCGTCGGAGCCACTTCCTTTGCCGAACTGGACCCTCGAGGCGCGCGCGCGCGCTTCGACGGCAACGTTCCGATGACTGCGCCGCGGTGCTGCGCACGCGGCTGCCGAACAAAAGAGCAGGAGAGGGTGGAGGAGGAGGGAGAGGGACCCTTTACCCTGCCCGCTGAAACTCCCCCAGACGGCACACTTACTCCCCCGTCCCCCCCCCTCTGTAGCACGAGGGCCGGTTGAAGAAGGCCCGGGGGGCCACAGCATGGCGCGCCGCGCAGGGACGCAGAGACTCAGGGTTGGAACTGAAACGACGCTTGAGCCTGGACGGCCCTGGCGCGGAGAGCCGTGGGCGGACGACGACGACGACGAAGACGTCGGCGACGTCGGCGACATCGGGGGCTACGACGGCAGTGGCGGCGGCGACGGCGGCGGTGGGCACAGCGGCGGGCCGACCACCACCTCCTCCTCCTCCTCCTCAGCTCCTGCTGCTGCTGCTGATCCTCCTCTTCAACCCTCCACTCTGCACCCTCACCCCGCCCGTCTTCCGCATCAGTCTCCGCCTCCTCCTCAGATGCCTCGCTCGTACCAAAATTCATGTTATATGCGCCGCTGGAATTGGCCCTCGAAGGTCTCATCCTTAAACGGGGATGCATGTGTTCACGGATGGGCCAGCTTTTGAGGGCCACGTTCTGTCGCCGGGGATGGGGGGATGGGCGGTGATGGTTCTGGACGGATGCGGGAACGTGCTGTCCTGTATCTTGGGGACAGTCCCCGTCGTTGAGGCATTGAGGCACCGCTCCAAGGGGCTCGCGACGGAGAGGACTATGCTGTCTTCCAGTTTGCGCTAAATGCGGTCCTGTTCAAGGGATGCCAGCTCCAGGTAGAGTGCGACAGATCCGTCTCCTGGGCTGAGGACCCCAGGTCCGCCGCGGGGCCAGGCAACCCGCAGGCCCTTGGTGTACCCAACTGTTTGATAGTCTTGATAGGGTCGAAGTGGTGAAAATCCCTGCCCTTTGTAAGGCAATCGTCATTTTAGATGGCAAGTTTCCTCGTTGTCAGTGGCTCGGCAACCGCGCGGCCGACGAGTTCGCCCGCCAGGGGGCGGAGCTTAAAAGGTGCGCTGACGCCGACGGTCTTATAATCCTGGGTTGCCACGAAGTGGCCAGGCTTGCCGCCAAATACGGGGCCTGCCAGGAGGCCCGCATGGCCGACGGCAGGGTTGTTTGCCACATCCCCCTGGACTGGCTGTCACACGTTGAACTCGGACCTGGTATTCCACCTGAGCTCCGTGAATGCTTTGAGAGAGACGGCGGGGGCCAGTCGTCCGTCATCGACGCCACCGAGGGCGGGGGGGACGAGCTGGACAGACGGTGCGGCGGCGCAGGGAGGCGGAGCCATTGAGTCCACCTCGCAAGGCGCAGCCCCTCTCCCGGGTGAAGAGGCTTGGGTCCTCGTGCGGTTATGGAGGGCCCGTCGCCAGGAGGAGGAGGAGGTGGAGGAGGAGGAGGAGGAGGAGGAGGAGGAGGAATGAGGAGGGAGAGGAGGAGGAAGAGGAGGGAATGAGGAGGAGGAGGAGGAGGAATGAGGAGGAGGAGGAGGAGGAGGAGGAGGATGAGAGGAGGAGGGGGAATGAGGCGGAGGAGGAGGAGGAGGAGGAGGAGGAGGAGGAGGAGGAGGAGGATGAGGAGAAGGAGGAGGAGGAATGAGGATGAGGAGGAGGAGGGAGGAGGAGGAGGGAGGAGGAGGAGGAGGAGGAGGAGGAATGAGGAGGAGGAGGAGGAGGAGGAGGTGTTTGAAAACCCCGCGCACGGCCCCTATGGGGCCGCCCATGACGCTCCCTGCCTCCTGCGCCCGCCGCCCTCTCGGCCGGCCGCCCGGGGGCCTCCGCGGGCTCGGGGGGCCGACGGGCGGCCATCGGACTGGACGTTCGGCGACGCGCAGAAAGGCAGCTCACAGGAGGGATCGCGTGCGTCTGTGCGTCCGTGCGTATACGTGCGCGCAGAGACGCACACAGAGAGAGAGAGAGAGAGAGAGAAAAAGAGAGAGAGAGAGAGAGAGAGAGCGCGCGATGGAGGCTGCTCCTTAGAAGGCGCCGGCCTTGCCGTGCATGCATGGGCAAGGCCCGTGCATTCGCCTCCTTCCCAAGACGCCTTCCCCTCTCCCCCTAGCCCCTCTGAGGCGTGGCCGAGATGTTGCAGGGCAAGCGCCCACTCCGCCGTGGCGGGCGGGTGGGGGCGGCGACCGCTCTTCCGAAGCCTCTCGGGAGTTCCTCGCGCCGAAGCCCGGCGTGGATACCACTCCTCCCCATGGCCCGCCTCCCAGCACTGCTCAAGGGCTTGTCCGCGGGCATGCCCTGTTTGGATTATCCTCCCGTGCTGAGGCGGTCAGCCTTGGCAGTCCTGGACAGGAGACGAAGGGAAACCGCCGCGCCCGAGCCGGGACAGTTCGGCGAGTTCTAGAACGATGTTTACTCATGCGCGAAGGCGATCGCTTCCCCAGCCGTTGTGGTGCTCCTCCTCGTCCTCCTCCTCCTCCTCCTCCTCGTCCTCCTCCTCCTCCTGCTCCTCCTCCTCCTCCTCCTCCTCCTCCTCCTCTTCCTCTCCTCCCCCTCCTTATGATCACCCTGCTCGCTATCCCCCTCCTCCTTCCCCTCCTCTCCTGGCTTTTGGACGTGAGCGGCTCGTTCGGGGCCCTCGGTGTCATCCAGAGCCAGTCGGCAAGCTCCTGAGAGGCATCTGGGGACCTCCAGAGACTCTTCCTTCACCTTCTCAAAGGCCGTCCCTCGTCGCCGCGGCTGGACGCGGCTCGGAAAGCGTGTGAGGACGGTGCCCAGGAAGGGTCCGGGATGGAAGGGGGAAGGAAGGAGGTGGAGCTTGGACGAGGGGAAGGGAAGGAGGAGGAGGAGGAGGAGGAGGAGGAGGAGGAGGAGGAGGAGGAGGAGGAGGAGAAGAAGGAGGAGGAGAAGGATGAGAAGGAGGAGGAGCGATGTTCATGCTATCTGTTTTCCTGATCTCCTCATCCTCCTCCTCCTCCTCCTCCTCCTCCTCCTCGTCCTGATCCTGCTCCTCGCCCTTCCCGTCCTCCTCGCCCTCGCGCAGCGCGAGGCGGGCGAGGATCTGGGGTCCCCTCTGCCCACGGTATCGGCGGGCGCCTCTGTATGGTGCTGTGGCTGTTCCTGCTGTTCATCCTCAGCATCCTTCTCCTGCTGCTCGTGCTCCTCGCGCTCCTCCGCTCATGATGTCAACCAAGCCCTACACGGTGGACCCTTCTCCTAGTTCTTTGCACTTCAGCCTTAGCCTCAGCTTCGGCACCAGGGTGCATGCCATGAACGCCTTCGAGCCAGCTCACCAAAGCGGGCTTTGCGCTCACATGGGTGTCGCTCTCCCTCTCTCCATCCTCCCGCTCCCCACCGTCGCGCAGGGTGAGAGGCACAGGCGCTGGCCCAGGGCGAGGATCTGCGGTCCTCCTTGCCCACGAACTGGGCCAGAGCCTCCGCGATCGCCTTCTGCACGGCGCCTGTGACCTGGCTCGGGAAGCGCGCGCGTGGAAACCTGCATACGCCCTCAGCTGCTGACCCTGATCGGCTGCCCCAGCACCCCGACACTGAGAGCAAACCTGCGAGTCCTGAGCTCCAACACTCAGCCCCTGGGCCCTGATTCCGATCCTGAGACCCTCATGACGTCAAAGCACTGCGCACTGAGCCAGCTCGAGTCGACAGCAAGCCCCAGGCGTCGAACCAGGCACGCCATCCGCAGCCGGAGCCAGACGAGCAGGAACGAGCGAGGCGCATCCTGCCGATTTGGGGCGCCCATCCTTGTCCTCGCCATCCTCCTCCTCCTTCTCCTCCTCCTCCTCCTCCTCCTTCTCATCGTCTGTCCCCTCCGTCTCCTACCTTTGAATCTCCTCGTCGAAGATCCTCCTCCACCATTGCCTCCGCCCCCCCCCTCCCTTCACAGCTCTCCTGGTCGCACCACCAGGCCTGTGGGCAGGCAGGGCCGGGGAGGGCCGCCTGCCGACCTCCCTGCCGATGGTGATCCCGGACCCTGCAACTTCCAGCAGCTGCGCGGGGGGGGGGGCCAGTCGCTCCCAACATGTGGCTCTCGCCTGTAGAAGGGCCAAACATTTTTGATTCGCGGGTCGAGAGCGCACCTCTTCCTGTCGAAGCTAAGCGGGCCGCGCGAAGCTTGAATTAACAATGAGGGGCGAGAAGGGCTAAACATCCACCCCCATAATACCCCCCCGACACGCGAAGCCGTTTCATAAACGCCCCCACTGAGGGAATCGAGCAGGGGAGGGGCTGTTTCGTAAACGCCCAAGGCCGTCTAGTAAACGCCAATTGTCTGGTCTGGGTGTGTTTTCCTCCCTTGAGCGTGAGCGCCGCGCAAAATCGTCTGACAAGTTCCCAAGCACTGCGTAGAAGGGTTGAGGGAGGGTTGCTTTCAATGTGTGGTCAATCGTCGTGCCACCATGCACGTTTGCATTACCACTCCCCAGCAGCCGCAGGGACGGAGGGCGAGCCGTCTCAAAATGTGACTCTCGCCTGCGTGCCATGCACACTCGTCGGTTCAGAGTTCCTAGCACTTGCAAAGGTGGAGAGCAGGTTGTGTTCAATATCCTGTGACTCTCGCCTTAGCGCAACGCCCACAAGGACGGAGGGCGTGCTTTCGTGTAAGGGGCCCTTGCTCAAGACTCCCGCAGAAAAAAAGCCGCCACCATGCACCCTGGCACGTTGAGGCGTGGTAGACTGTCAAGTGCTGTCGAATAGGGCTGATGTTCACCTTCTCGGGGACGCCCTCCAACTCCCCCCACACTCGCACCACGTTATCCCTCCCTCCTGAATTTGCATAGGAGACCCGAAGCCTCCAGGGGGCTCTGCAAGTTTCTCCCAGGTTTCCAAGACGTCCCAGGATGGCCACCAAGATGGCCTAACACTGCCTCAAGAGGCATCCAACAGTCCTTGAGCAGACCTCTGGAGGCGCCAGAGAGGCCCGAAAAGGCTGCGAAGGCATCAAAGAGAAGGCGAGGAGGCCTTCCAAGAAGGCCCATCAAAGCGAACTATCACAACTTGTGTATCCTTGGATTGCTGGGCCTATCTGCTCAATATGGGCATCTCGGCTTCAGCTGACACCAAGAGGGGGGCGCAGGAGCAGCACGGAGACGAAGAGGCCTTGCGGCCTCTGAGAAGCCCGAGTTCCCCCGATGGTCACGACGGCCCAAAGAGGGGCCGGGGACTTCAAGAGGCCCCCGAGACGAGAGTGAACCAAATTGGCATGAGATGGCACCAAGAATGCCTGAGGCCCAAGCACGGCCAAGAGAAGTTCCAAGACAGCCCCAAGATGGTTCCACAGGAGCTGAAAGCAACCCCAAGACGGCCAAGGTAGGCCTACTATGAGCCACTCCAGGAATAGAGGCTAGATGTGTTACATTTTCACATGTTACGACCTCCTGAGCGGTGCTCGAACCGAAGCATCGCCACACAAAGGGCTGCGCTGGCACGGTGGCGAATCTTGCCCCAAGCAGCTGGGATCTGACCAGACGCCTGACACTGTGCAACCACTACGGGGTGGAAGGAAGGCCAGTGTAAAGCAGCCTGGACTCGCGTCGAACTTATTCATGTGAGGCAAGTCTGGCCCGACGTGCACAACACTTGAGGAACAGGCACACGGCTGGAGACTGGCTCATGTTCAAAACTGCGTGTCCGATGGATACCACCTCGAGTTGTAGGATCCTGCCCCTCCGCATTCCGTACCGCTCGAGTGATGCGGGGCGGCTCCTTCTCTCACAGGCGGGGCTCTCGCCCGCACGGCAGGCCCACCACGAGCGCTCGTCTGTCAAGGGGGGTGCGCCCAGCAGTGGAATACGACGAGAGCGCGTGTGTGCTTGTGTGTGTGTTTGTGTGTGGTTGTACGTGTTGTGTTGCGTCTGTGTGTGTGCGTATGTGTGTGTGTTGTGTGTGTTGTGTGTGTGTGTGTGCGTGTGTGTGTTTTTTGTGTGTGTGTGCTTGTGTGTGTGTGTGCGTGTGTGTGTGTGTGTGCGTGCGTGCGCGTGTGTGTGTGTGTGTGAATGTGTGTGTGTGCGTGCGTGCGTGCGTGCGTGCGTGCGTGCGTGCGCGCGTGCGTGCGCGCGCGCGTGCGTCTGTGTGCGTGTGTGCTTGCGTGCGTGCGTGAGTGCGTGCGTGCGTGCGTGCGTCTGTGTCTGTGTCTGTGTCTGTGTCTGTGTCTGTGTCTGTGTCTGTGTCTGTGTCTGTGTCTGTGTGTGTGCGTGCGTGCGTGCGTGCTTGCGTGCGTGCGTGCGTGCGTGCGTGCGTCTGTGTGCGTGCGTGCGTGCGTGCGTGCGTGCGTGCGTCTGTGTGTGTGCATGCGTGCAGGAACCTGTGAGGAGGGGACTTGGGACGGGAGGGTGCATTGCAGCTTCTGTTGCTCATCCGGGCTGCCTCTGACACCACTACGCCTCCTACGCCTCTGGCCCTATCCCCTTCCCCCCCCCTCTGGCCCCGCCACCGCCGCCTGCGAAGGACGGGGCGGGCAGTCAGAAACAAATCGTCCGGTGCATGTCCTGAGGGGGGGGGAACGCACGGACGATCGCCAGCGACGCCTGCGCGCTCCGCACGGGAGCTCGCCCCGTGCCCGTGGGGGGCCATGGCGCGGAGGCCGCCGCCCCGACGAGACGCGGGCGAGCTGGCCTCTGCGAGCCCGTTGCCACGGCGCGGCGCGCCTGCCGAGGCACGCCCCGGGAGGGGTGCGGGGAGAAGGGGGCAGAGGAGGGGGCAGAAGGCAGAGGCAACCACCGTCCGGGGGGCGCGCCGAGTCAGCCTGTGGCAGTCACCGCCGCCTGCGGGAGCGGTCCCCCCATGCGTGACTCCTGCCTGGGCTGGCAGCGCGACCTGGAGGACCCGCGGCGAGCCGAGGCGAAGCTGGAAGGGCCAGGTCTCATGCACAGGATGAGGGTGGGGGACGATGGCACGGATGCGGTAGCCTCCTCCCTCCTCCTCCTCCTCCTCCTCCTCCTCCTCCTCCTCCTCCTCCTCCTCTTTCTCCTCTTCCGGACAGTGTGCAGTGTGCCACCAGGGAAAAGGAAGAGGACGAGGGCGGAGGACGAATCAGGAGGACGCGGGATGAAGAGAGGCGAGATGGACCAAGGGACGAAAAAGGTTTGGCCTCCCCCGCAAGAGGCACCATGGCCTCCGCTGTCGTCGCGGTCAACACCACAGCCTCGGCAGTCTTGGCCATCACCTGCTGGTGTACGCGAGGAGGAAGAGTTGAGGAGGAAGGATTGAGGAGGAGGAGGAGGAGGAAGAGGAGGAGGAGGAGAGGAGGAGGAGGAGGAGGAGGAGGAGTAGGAGAAGGAGGACAGCGAGGTTGAGGGCGACCGAAGGGGAGACGGAAAGACAGAGGAGGATAGTCATTAGCACAGAGGGAAAAGGCCGAGAGTGACGAAAGAAGTAAGGAGGAGGACGAGGACCAAGAGCATGACGAGGAGGACGAGGGAGCCTCGGAGGAGATGGAGGAGAAAATCGACCATTCAGAGAAGGACGCGGCACTGCTCTGCCCCACCCCGCCCTGATGCCACCAAAGGTCTGCGGAGACCTCCCGCGAAGTGCCCAGGAGCCACATCAGAGACTGCCAGCCAGCCACTTCGACCCTCGGGAAAGGGGGAGCAAAACTACCTGTCTCACCACGGGCACCGAAACGGCATGGAGATGTTCCAAAGAACTTGTGATTGGACACGTGGGCGTCCTTCTTGATTAACGCAAATGTTGAGCATAGGACGAAGCTGATGCTCTGACAAGCAAAACTAACATGCAATGACAGAACGTAGCATAGAAGCATCACTCACCACGCCACCATACCAGAAGAAACTAACTAAGTATGCCTGTCTTTCAAAATGGTAGCATCCACCTTCAGGCCCCAGCTGACACAGTCAGCATGACCATGCTCCAGCTCAGGACGCGAGAGCCCTGCGCGAAGATGAAGTGGGGACCAGCAGCGCACCCGACCGTCTTTTGGGGGAGACACACGAACCGACGCCACCGAAAACCCATCGGGGGGGGGCGACCCCTCGGCCGAGGCACCGCCTGAGCGTCGTCCGGAACTGGACGACGCTCGGCGTGCCACCGCTCAGGGGTGGATCCTCCCCCGATGTGGGGGCGATCTCTGCTTCTCCTCTGACTCTTGGAGCAGGCAGCGAGCGCACTTCGACCCCGGAACTGGAAGAGCGGGCATCCTCGAGGAGGCTCGCAGCGTCTTCCAGAGGTCCTCATGCACACGTCTGCAGAAGCTTCTTGTGCGAGGCCTCGCGGGAATTCCCTGCTGAAGCATCCGCTCTGCATGCCCCCGGAGGGCTACGCAGAGAGCCACAAACGCTGAAAAGCATCGATGCTCGAGGAGGAGGAGGAGGAGGAGGAGGAGGAGGAGGAGGAGGATGAGGAGGAGGAGGAGGAGTTGGGATCGAACATCCCATTGCGGAAGCTTCGTCTCCCGGCCTAGCCAGAAGCGCCGGCACCGCCAGCGATACCTCACCGAACCCATTCGGCGCCTTAAGCAATTTAGGGCCAGAGCGTGCCCGTCTCTGAACGCGATGATCTACGCTGGAGGTTAGAGACTGGGTCGGCCACCACCGTGCCGAAGAAGTGCCCGATGATGCCCACAAGTGCTATGCCCCCTCCCCTGGCATACACTCCGGGCCAGACGGGCAAGACACCAAAGACAGCCTTGTCGCGAAGTTCTTGCTGCGGAAGGTGGGGGGGGCGAAGCGGGCCCAGGGGCAAGACGGGAACGCATTCTGCCGATCAACGTTCACTGGAGCAGGCATACCACCATCACGATGCTCATCGCCAGGGGTTTTGCGAACACCGCCTCCGAGGAAGATATGATCCAGAAGTGTTCCCTCCTTCTTCATAGCTTTCTTCAGGCGCTTCTCCTCGGCGAAGGCTGAGTCGTAGGAGCTGTAGTTCAGGACTTTGGTCATGAGGTACTCGTCCACCCTGTCGGCCACAATACTTTGCGTCAGGACCATGCGGCTCTCCTCCGCAAGCAGCTGGGAAGCCTGGTGTTCATCGCGCAGCCGTGCGCGGGGTGATTCGTCATCCCGTGCAAGCTCGGTGAGGCACAAGGGCTTCACGACTTCGAAAGCGCACTGGAACCCATCCACGGAGACGGGGCCCCACCCTATCTACGCGGCGTGGTCGATGACCGAGTAGGCATCCACGCTGTGCTTCGGATTGGAGGTCTTCTTGTAGATGTACCCGAGCTGGTTGATCCAACACGTCACGAGTCCGGCCTCGGCGCAGTCCTGCAACTTCCCGGTGGCCTGCTGCTCGGTCCTCACAATCCGCTGATCCCTGAGCACCGCTGCAGACTGCGCGACAGCGGCCTTGGGTTCCGCCAGGCGCACGCGGGCGGCAGCAGTGGCGCGCGAGTCCTTCAGGCGGTCGCTGTCAGCCTGGGGCAGCGGGCGCGCCTCCTCGGCCAGCTTCGCGGGCACGCCGTCTGCGATGCCATACGGTTGAGTGTCGAGTTCGTGGTAGCGTATGGCCCCGTTGCGCGGGCATCTCGCTCCGTCGCGGTCAGGACCGCGGAGGGATGTCCAAACCGTGTCCGCGATGATCGCACAGCCCGCTGCTGTACCGCACCTCGCGGACGTGTGAGTCCGCCACGGTAGCCACCTTGAACTCGAAGCCTATCCCCGCGAGGTCGCCGAAGATGTCGCTGAGGGCAGTGGCCGTCTCCTGCGAGCGCGGGTGAGTCGATAGACGCACCGTGCCCACATGGGCCTTCTCCACGGGTGCGCCTCGGTAGGTCTTCAATTTGTCCCTCTGCCAGTGGCTGAATACATACGGCTCAGAGGTGGAAGCGTTTGTGGATGTGCCAACAAATTTGCCGACGAGCTCGGACATGGTGAATCCGTCCCCGCGCGCCCCCGACGGGGCCACCACCGTCTGGACCAGCCTCCCGTTGTGGCACAGTTCATCGCGACGTGCCTCACGCGCTGCATGAGCGGCCGACTGTGTCCGCAGCTCCGCGGTGGTCGCCTGCGCCTTCGCCAGCTCCTCGTTCGGCGGGGCGCTATTGTCTTGCTCCTGTGGGGGCGGGCGGCTTGATCGGGTGCGCCGAGGTCGCCGTCCAGGAGGATCGCTGCCACTTTCCTGAATGCCGCCCAGGGACTGAGCCAGCGCCACAAGCTTGGTGGCCACGGAGTCGGTCAGCTTCTCGGAGCTCCGTGAGGCCATGGCGATGGTGTTGGGCATCCAGCTGCTGCTGCGCACAGTCTCGAGACCTCGTCTCGATCTTGTTTAGGCTGATGATGACCACCTGCGTCTCCATGAGGCGCTGTCTGTGCGAGGGCTTGCCAAGGTAAGCCTTGCGGTGTGCGAGCTGCTGAGCAATACCATCGAGTTTCTAGGGAATGGAGGTGCATCTGGGCGGCCATGCCATCCCTGTCGCCTGCAGTGCGGGCCGCGTCGGAGAGCCATACCTCCACCACCAATGTGTTCTTCAGGTCGCCCATGAGCATCTGAAGTTGAGCACGTCTATGACGTAGTCCGTGCCGCGCTCCATCACGCGCTCCATCGCGGTCAGGTGGTTCGGGAAGAGCTGCAGGCAGATCGTCTACAGGTGCCAGTGTAGAGACTCGTCGCCGCGGACACCGGGAGAAGACCACGTCGACGAAGCCAGCGTGCCGCACCGAGTTGCCGAAGAACAAAGCCTTGCGAGCGAGCGAAGACGACAACGAACAGCGACAACCAATCCATCGCAACGCCCTGGAGCAAGACGCGAATACGCGGCCACGTACATGCGTGAGGAAGAATTAGAATATCACGAGCAACATGGCCCGCATTCAAGACAGGGCTCGCCGAGTCCAGGGCAGCGCGCCTCGATTGCAGCCCAGGCGCTGGACATCATAGCGGGGAACATGCGATGGCCTGCAAAGCTGTAGTCATCCGGCCTTACTCAAGCGCGGCTTGAGCCAAAATGGCTGCTATGGAAGGGGAGGAGGAGGAGGAGGAGGAGGAGGAGGAGGAGGAGGAGGAGGAGGAGGAGGAGGACGAGGAGGAGGTGGAGGAGGAGGAGGACAAGGAGGAGGAGGAGGAGGAAGAGGAGATGGGAGGAGAAGGAGGAGGAGGAGGTGGTGGAGGAGGAAGAAGAGGAGGATGGAACGGTGGGCATACGTTACTGTACTGTGGTGGTGGATCCCAGTCGTGTTCTTCGCAGGTGCAAATTCTTCATGTTGTTCATATGTCTCGGTCGTTTTTGAAGAGGAGGGACTGCCGCCGTTAGTTTGGCAGCTCGTACCTCGCGCACGTCGAGTAGATGCAGGTTGTCCCGTGCCTCCAGGGCGAAGAGTCGGCCGATTCGCACGTGTTCTGCCTCCCCGAAAGCGTTGTAAAAACTCTCCGAGACCCCGCATGCGCATCGAATGTCCCCCAGGAGTCATTCGGCCCAAGGGTTCGTGTCGTGTCGTAGTTCGTCCCCCATCTCTCGGTCCCCCGTGTTCTCGAATTCAAGCTTCCCGAATAGCGCGACGATGAGTTGACGATGGTTGCATGGAAACCGGATGGTGTTTCTGAACCAGCCCAGACGTCGTACCAGTGCCTCCTCCGCTGGTGGCAGTATTTGCCAGTGGCGGAACACCTCCAGCGCGCTCAGAGATCGCGCGCTGACGTCTTCGCGCCCGGTGGCGGCTCGGCCCCGAATAGCCCTTCTCAGTCGCGCCTCCATCGCGCGTTGGAGCTGCGTGCTCGCTGGGCGTCGGTAGGTAGCACCCGATGCAGGATAGTCCCGTGCTGATTACTCGACATATCAGCACTGCTCGTTTCCATATGTATGGGATGCTGGCTTTGCTCGAGAAGCCCCCGCACCCATAGTAGCTCTTCCTCGTGGCCCCGATGCGTTGTGTAGTTATACGGCATATGTCTGCGTCGCGCTGATCTGCGGTCCTAAGTGGCGCGCCGTTGGTAGCTTCCGCCCTGGTAGTCTGCATCTCGGGTCGTGCTTGAATTGGTGGTGCGCTCGCTGCTTGCCTTGTCCCTGACAGTAAACGACTTTACCCTGCTTGTCCTGGTTCTGGCGCATTCTGGTGCTCTGCAGTCGTTCGTCAAGGTCCTCGTCCACTTGGCGCGCTCGCTGTACCAGTCGCGGCGCGTCTGCGCGTGTTCCACCCAGGATGATTTCGCGGAGGTCGCCAGCGTACTTAGCGAGGCCCACGTAAAGAGGCCGTTGAAATAGTCCACTGCGTCCGTAGAGTTCGCGGTCATGGCCCAGGTGGTCGTTGCAATCTTGAACCCATCGCTGCACGCACGGCGTGAAGCTGGCCGCGAAGTTGCGCGCCACGTACTGGAGTGGCGCTGCTGAGTATCGCTGCGAGCGCTGCTCGAAATAAGTCGTTGAAGTGGTCTGTTGAGTCTGCGTGGTTGGCGCTCCCAAGCATTGGTGTCGTTGTGGTGCTGGTGCGTAGTCTCGCAATAGTAGTCTCCGTCATTCGGAGGGCGCCGCCGCGGGCGGTGCTGCTCGTCGCAGCTTTGCTCTCTTGAGGCTGCGCTTGATGTGTTCGATGTCCTGATCGATCGCCTCCTCTAAGTCGTTCTCGCCGTAGTCTTGCGCCTCTGCATGGGTTGGTATCTGCCCCGGCGCGTCGTCGTCCAGCTCTGTCCCCTCCATTCAACCCATTCCTCCTGGTAATTTCCAGAACTCCAACCGTTCTTCCCTTGTGGGTTGTGCTGAAACTGTAGTCCAATAGTCACGTTTCCGTGGTTCGTATCTGCTTCCCGCTATGAGTCTGGTCAACCTCCCCACTCTCGCCAAGTCCCTGCATTCCCACGCCTCGTGCAATTCTGCCACCCTGTCGTCCGTCAACTTCTGGTACTCCACCTCTCGCATGGTCGCGCATTCCCTGGTGATCTGGCGTAGATGGTTCGCGATATCGCATAGTCTTCTTTCCGTTGGGCTCGTCGATGGTGCCCCAGTAGCAACGCTGTTCCTTGGCGAAGACCCAGTAGCAACACAATCCGTAGGTGACGTCCCAGTAGCAATAACACTTGCCGTCGGCGGAGACCCATTGGCGACCCGCGTCCTCAGTGTAGACTCAGTAGCAGCACAAGTCCTACGTGAATACCCAGTAACAGCATGATTCGTCGCTGGAGGCCCAGTAGCAACACCATCTGTGGGTGTCGTCACAATGGCAATGCAGGCCGTAGCCGGCGACCCAGTAGTAACACAGCCTGTTGGTGGTGGCCCAGTAGTAACACGTGCCCCTGGTGAAGACCCAGTAGCCACACGTGCCATCGGTGGGGGCCCAGTAACGTAGGTGATCGGCACCTTCTTCGTTTAATATTCCTCTATGGGCCCGATGGGTAGTGCTTCGCCCTCCCGTCTGAATCGTTCCCGTAGTGCTCTGCGCTGCCTGGGTAGTTCCATCCGGCGTGCTCGTAGGTCCGTATATGCCTGTGTGGGTGGTGGTCGCTGTCCGTATATAGGGTGTGCCGCCTGTACGATCATATAGGGTGTGCGGGTCGATGCCCTTGTTCGTGGGGTCGTACGTCCGAAGTCTGGTCTCCAACGCTTCTATAAACTCGTTGCTATGTTGTCTGTGTCGGGCCGCTTGAGCAAGTAGGTCTTTGTCCCATCTCACTGGCTTCTGTCTTTGGACTTGTTGTCTGCGTATCGTCACTGTTATCGTTGCCTGTACTGGTACGTGGTCACCGTGGTATCTGCTTGGGATCTACTGTAGTCTGGTGCCCATGCGGAGTAGGGGTCCCTGGCTGATGACGTCGCAGGAGAGATCCTGTGGCATCATGATGAAGTCGATGCAGCTCGCTGTGTGCGTGCCAGGGAACGTCGGGCGCCATGGCGATGTGCTGCCCGTTGTCAAGAATTGGTGGCGCTCCGCGTAGTGTCGTGTTCGTTGTCCCGCGCCTCCTGGTGGTCCTTCTTTTTGGTGCGACACTTGCCCAGCGCCGTGCTCGGTGGTGGACGCCCTGTCGCCGTGATGCCAATCCCGTCGTTCATCACCCGCTGTGAATAGTAAGCTTCCTAGTGGGCGCTGTTGCGCAATGATATCCATTCATGTGTAAAGTCGTGCCACTGTCGCATGGTATTGTTTCTTCTCCTCCTTCGTACGCGGCTGGGGTGGGAAATCGTATCCAATGATCGTCAATCGAAATGTGTGGTGTGCGATGTCGAGTGCGACGCCTCGTCCGCAAAGTTTTGGTGGTGGGGCACGCACAGCAAGTATGTCCGCTCATCGTAGTCGTCCTTGTAGTGCCACCGGGATGCCAGTGCTGCGGTTGGTAAGCAAGCCACTCTGCCACCCTGCACCGATGCACCTCGTGTGCTGCAGTCTTCGTTGTTCTGGTTGTTCTCCTCGTCGGAGTCGTTGAGTGCCTGTCAGGAACACGAAGTCAAACTTGTGAGTTTCCTCAAGGATCTCCTGGAGTCGATCCTCTCTGGCCGTCAGCGGATTGTAGAGCAGCAGCGTGAGGGTGGTCATCCATCGCAGCGCAAACATGCGGGCTTCCGCCTAATCGATCCTGCCTCCACATCTCTGTGAAATGACGGTGCGTAAGTGTGTCGCTACCCTGACAATCTCTTGGGCCCAGATGGCAGCTGGAGGAGGAGGAGGAGGAGGAGGAGGAGAAGGAGGAGGAGGAGGCGGAGGAGGAGGAGGAGGAGGGGGGGCGGGGGGCGGTTTTTCGGGGCCCACGAAGGGAGCCAACGCCGCCACTCCCAGCCCCGACCCCTGGAATCGCCAGCTCGGGCGTGGCCGACGGCGCGGCGGGGCCCCCCACTTCTCAACGGGCTTCTCCAAGGATGCGGCGGACACGCGGGGGAGTGCCGCAAGAGAGAGCGAGCCAGGATCACGCCAAAGGGGGGGAGGGGACTGGCCCTCCGCCACTGGACGTGTGCTGGCCCCCCTCTTGGAGTCGGGACTGGGGCTGGGGGTGGCTTTTCGCCTTCTGCTCCCCCCCCCCCGAGATCGGGGAGAGAGCGGAGCGGCGCGCGGCGCGCGGCGCGCGGTGCGCGATCCGCGCCCTTGCCGCTCCGAGGCGGTTCTGCTCGGGTCCCCCCCCCTGCCTGGCACGGCCGAGCGCGGTGAAGGGCATCGTCGACGGAGTCGGCGTCGCCCGTGGGCCGTCGGCCTCGTCGCCGTCCCATCGATGCCGTGGTCGTCGCCCGAGGGGGGGGGGGGGGGGAGAGCAAAAGGAGGAGGAGGAGGAGGAGGAGGAGGAGGAGAAGGAGGGGGAGGAGGAGGAGGACGGGGAGGAGGAGGAGGAGGAAGCCGAAATCAAGAGCAGGAAGAGACGAACGATGAGGACAAAGAGGAGGAGGAGGAGGAGGACAAAGAAGAGGAGGAGGGGGAGGAGGAGGACGAGGAGGAGGAAGAACATGAGGAGAAGAAACGGAGGAAGATGGAAAGGGTGAGGAGAAGACACGTGTCCTGCAATATGAAAAAAACACAGATATGGAGTGTACTGGTGTGGATAGTGACGAGGTGGGCAGGGCGGACAGCAATGAAGAGGAGCGACACCAGAAGAGGGCTGTCGCGCTCAGCTCGTTTCGGGGATGGACAGATC